CCCTCCCTCCCTTCCTTCCTTCCTTCCTTCCTTCCTTCCTTCCTTCCTTCCTTCCTTCCTCTTTCTCTCTTTCTGGTGACAGTCTCACTATAGCTCAGATTGGTCTTAAAGTCATGATCCCTCTTGCTTCAGCTTCCTGAGTGCTGGATTATAGGAATGTGCCACTGTGCCTATATGTTTCTTGGTTAGTTAGGATTGGTTGCTTTTTATCATTATGGATCTCATTAGTTTTTTGTTTGTTTTTCATGCTGAGTGAGTAATCTTTGTTTGGATACTAGAGTCCTGAAACTCACTTTGCAAACCAGGTTGGCCTCAAACTCAGAGAACCTTCTGCCTCTGCCTCCCGGGTGCTGGGATTAAAGGCTGACATTATAGATCTTATTATTGGATATTGGATATCATTATTATTCTTGAAATTCATTCTAGTTAAACTACTTGTAAACAACTTGGTCCATGCATTGCTTTGAAGATCTCACAGAAGATTAGACACCATTTAGTCAAGGGTGAGAACAGGCACTAACTTGACCTGGTATAAATGCCAGGTGCTCTGCCCAGCATCCCCTCCCCCAGATGACTTCTTTTTGTGCATTCTGCAGTTTTCTCTCACGCAAGGGCTAAGCTTTGCTACTTGAGGGGGACTCACTGCAGATACACATTGTTTTTCTGTCTCCTCTCTGTTACAATTTTCCAAGAGTCTACTTGACTCTCAGCTCTACGAGAGATTCTGGTAAGCCCAGTTTGTCCTGTCTTCTCTGTGTGATAGCCCAGACCAGAAACACAAAGCAGTAGCCTAGGACAATTACTCTGTTTACCACACTTTCTCTCTTTGGGATAATCACAGTCTTTTATTGCTTGATGTCTAGTATCTTGAAAATCAGTTCATGAATTTGCATATTTCCTATTGGCTGTTTGAAATAGAGATTAAATCTGGTTCTATTATTCCATTTTATGTGGAAACAAATGTTAGCATTAAAATGTTAAGAAACTTGCCTAAGAATAAAGTGATTGGCATCAGACTACAAGGCGGTTTTGCCAGGCATACATGGAGTTTAATTGTATCTATTTAGTTTGAGTTATTTAAAAAATCCTGAGAGAAACCACTGTTGTAGCCATGTCTTAAGAAGGGACTCTATCACTTTCGGGTCCTGTCACTTCGATCATCTGTAGCAACGGGCACAGTAAACTGGACTGCATCTATATTGCACGTGGGATACAGAAAGTAACGTGAGCCTTCAGTCCACACTGCTTTTCTCTTTGACCAGGAACCAATGGAATGAAGTACGGGTATTTTCATACGTAAACTTGTAACCCAGCAGGTCCACTAGGCTGCTTCTGATTTTAGTTTGCAATTGACACTGACATGTTTGCTCTGGGTCTCTGTGACCTGTTATGTTTCTCATTTCACCTACAGTGTCTGATGGTTCAAATTCTTATCTATGGAAGTAAGCATATTAAGACCAGAGAGACTAAAAACCTCCTTACCCTATTGCAGAGGTAAGTTCTGCATCTGGATACAAACCATGTTGTCATGATGGGTATATGAACCAGCCTGTCTCTGATGCAGTCAGGTATTGGTGATTATCTAGTAAGGCAAAATCTCACCTCAGATACGAGTTTTGTCAAGTTCTATACTGGACATTATTAATTCAGCTCTTATTAGCTTAGAACCCAGACTTACAGGAGTTGGCTGTAACAATATGTAGTATATTATTACATATGCAAATACATTAAGCATATCACCCTCAGTGCTGAGCATTTTAGCCAAATTCTGCATGACAAGTCTTTGCTGATAGCATGATAGCCACAATATTGTGTATTTATGGATTCTAGAAAGTCAGTAAGTGAATACATTAAAATTATTTTTCTCATTGAGTATATCTAGGTCTTTAAATATAAGGCAGGTATTTGGGCAGATTTCGTATGTTCAGATTTTATATATATATAAAGGTTTTATATATATATAGGTTTAAGCCAAAGGGAATGCTTGCCAGAGACCTGCCCCATTCTCTTCCCTTTTCTTATCATTGATACTTACACATCTCAATGTGATATTGATCTTGAATTGGTCCCTTCTAATGAAAAAGAGACTAAAAATTGTTAAGTGTTTGCTAAAACCGCCAACTGACCTAGGTTCTGCTTAGAAACAATTTCATTTAAACTTCTGTGACTACTCAATACGAAGCTCTGGTTTGACAGAATGGAACCCAAGGTTCTGAAGATTTTTCTCAGAGCTATAGTCTTAGAGATTTGGATCCAAGTAAATGTGACCCTACAAGTGGAAAGTTCTTTAACAAAGAGGTTACTGGTTTATGAGTATCTTAGTTAAGGTTTCTATTGCTGTGAAGAGGCACCATGAACATGGCAACTCTTATAAGGAAAAAAACATTTAATTGGGATGGCTTACATTTTCAGAGGTTTAGTCTATTATCATCACCATGGTGTGATATGGTGGTGTGCAGGCAGACATGGTGCTGGAGAAGTAGTTGAGGGTCCTGCATCTTGACTTGAAGGCAACAGGAAGTGATCTGAGACACTGGGCATGGCTTAAGCATATATGAGACCTCAAAGTCTGCCTCTACAATGACACACTTCCTCCAGCAAGGCCACACCTACTCCAACAAAGCCACACCTCCTAATAGTGCCACTTCCTATGAACTTATGGGGGAAAATTACACTTAAACTACCACAATGGGTGAGGGTAGGACTCTGATTTCATTCACCAGAAGTGGTTCCTAGTCAGTCCATCCTCAGCAGACTCATCAGGTTAATCAGGTGGGAGAGATGAGCTTGAAGAAACAGTTGCAGCCCATTCTATCCATACCAGCCTCAATCAGCCACACTTCAGGTAGGCTCTGAAGGTTATTGCCTTCTATAACATTCAGTTTAGGGGCACAGAGAAACAGCCACACAAAGAAACAGGGAGGAATTTGCTCCCTGCTTGCAAGTGTGTATAAAAGCGTATTTCTTAACCAAAACAATAAGAATACGGAAAGCTAGAGTATAGATCTCTTTCCGTTTCTCTAACACATGTTACTTGTGACTCATAAACCACAGCTGGGTAGGTATGTTTTTCTCTCAGGCTGAAACTGAAGCTTAGGGTGTTTTGGGTAAGATGTGAACTAAAGTTGATCAGACTCTCTTTCTTTTGCTATGTAGTAAGGACTTCAGTGGACTTGAGTTATACACATGGGAACAGCAACTCAGCTGACACACTCCAGAACCATTTCTGTATGGAAAACCTGAGAATAATCGATTTGCTCAAGCTAAGCTGCCCAGAAAGAGGCAGGGCTGGGATTTCACACAGGTCTCTCTAACTTCAGAATGTGGCCTCTGGAGGCAGTATAGCTTCTACTATAAAAGCAGATTTAAAACTCCAGGCTTCAACTCTCCACTCTTTCATCTTAGAGAACTTACTTTAACGCCCTTAGCCTTACTTAGAACTCACTTAACTCCCGTAGCCTGGAGTTACGCACCACTATAATAATGGCACTTCCCTCTCATGTCTGCATTAATGAGACCATACGTTATGGTCAGGTTCTGGCCAACTTTAAATCTTAAATGTTTACTGATTGTCAACATCATAATAAAATGTCAATAATGATAGTAATTCTTTTTCTGAAGTATAGACATAATGAGCCAGGATGTTTAAATGAGTCGTATATATTACCATATTATTATTTTATGTTAGGAGTAGGGTAAGGAATATTCATGACTGGAGTAAGACAGGATTTTAACCTATTTTTACCACCTAGGAAGTACATGAACCTGAGCAAATCTGCTACTCCTCCTTGAGCCTTGGCTCACTAACATTTCAGTAAATCATGAGTTGTTAGTACTTTTTAAGTCATAAGGATTGAAGCAGAATCCTGTCTATGCATGCCCAACAGAGTATGTGCTAAGTCAGTGTTAGCTGCACATTCTTCCCTCCCCTTCCTTACAAAACACTCACTGCCTCTTACTTTTAAGGCAACACATCAGAATATTTGAAATCTGAGGTAACTGTTAGTCAGAATCACCATATTTTGTGATTGAGGATTTGACACTCTGCCTTATTCAATGTACCTATTGTGTTTTGAAATTACTACCAATGAAACAATAACAAAAATAAAAACAACAACATGCGATTTCAGAGACAAAATACAGTCTCTTTCCTCAAATTTGGAGTAAAACTTCTACCCAGCTTGTATTCAAACAAGAGAAGCCTCACAGCTGGAGAGATGGCTAAGTCAGTTAAAGGAGCCTGCTGCCACCTCTGAAGATAATTCTTGAGACCCACACGGTGGGAGAAGTGAAAAGACTCCTGCAATTTGTCCTTTGACCTCCAAATGCATGCCAATGCTTATCATGGCATGCAACGCAAGAGTGCATATACATGCACACACCAAAACAAACAAACAAAAAGTAAATATAAAGATAGGAGACCCACAACTGGTCAAGGCTCAAATAATAAGTGACTGCTGAGTGCTCAGCCCTAAAGGAGATATCGATCGATCGATTGATCTGCACTCCCCTCCTAGGGCTCAAACATCGTTGTGGAAGAGGCAGCAGAAAGACTGTAAGGAATAGGGTGGTTGGGTGACCACAAGGAAACAATGTCCTCAGTGTACAAGAGTCGCTCATGTGAGCTCATAGTGGTTATGACACCACGAACAAGATCTACACAAGTTTAAGGCCCACATGCAAAATTAGATAGGCAGCATTAATAGGACTGGATGGCTTTAAAAAAATGAGAAAACAAAGTTGGATGGGTGAGATGAGAGGTAAATCTGGGAGAAGATGGAAGAGGGGACAGGACAGTCAAAATACAATGTATTCTTAGAGTTAATAAAATATATTTTTAATTTTTTAAAGAGAAAGTTCAAGATAAATGGATAAATAAATAAATATTTTCTCAGTAGCCTCAAGTTGACAAGAGCCCTAGAAGGAGGAGAAATTAAGGGACATTTGTGGAAGCCGATGTAGACCAGGCAGTCTACATTTCTTGAGGTGTCTGAACTTAAGTGGATCAGGTTTCAGATTCCCACTCCTTCACTATGTAGAGGATCTAGCTTTGATGGGTTTGCATCTGCATACGGAGAAACCTGTTCAGTAGGTCACACTCTGGAACCCATTTTATACACAGACACACTGAGAACTGAGTTTCTCCAGTTACTTTGCCCAGGAAGAGGCAGGGCTGCTGGGAATTTAATATAGGTCTCTAACTGCTCTCTTTCTCTGCTGAAGACAGCAAGATCTAGACCTAGCCCGAGTCCATATAAGGGGAAAAGAAGTCTTTTGAAGGCCTCTGCTGTAGCAGATATTGCGTCAATAAAGGTTTTTCTTTCCCTGAAACAAGCCGGTATCTCATTTCCCAAGAACTGCTGAGCAAAGCCATGGGTAGTTGCCAAAGCCCAGATGTCCAAAAGCAATGCACGGATTGCTCTCTCTGCTTCAGCATCTCACTGGAACAATCAGTCCCAGATGTCCTGGGACTCTGCTGTGTTCCGATGTGCTCTAGTATGCTTTCCCCCACCTCCTGCAGGAACGTAGTGAAACAATCTCTGGACTGCCATGGCCAGCAGCCTGAATTCTTGTCTTTTGGGGCCTATGCAAAGGAGTTAGAGCAGATGGGCCACTTGAAGCAGGAGTTAATTCCAAGGCAGAACAATAGTTGCAAGGGCACAAGGACATTCTGTAAGATTTCAGTGCATGGAACAGGCAGAGAAAACTTCAGATTTGGAAACAAACTTGGAGGTTGTTTGGTTCAAATTTTACCTGAGTCACAAACGCACTTCATTTTTGTTGTTTTGTTTTGTCTTTAGAGACAGGGTTTCTCTGTGTAGCCTTGGCTATCCTGGAACTCGTTTTGTAGATCAGGCTGGCCTTGAACTCACAGAGATCCACCTGCCCCCGCCTCCTGAGTGCTGGGATTAAAGGTGAGTGCCACCACCGCCCGGCTATTCACTTCAATTTTAACCATTCATAAATCAAGCTCTTAAGAATGAGCACTATGCTTCAGGTCTTTTCCTTTCAGAGAAAACACACATGTACCAGTTTAAAATTATTCTGTAGCACACTTTTAATAGAATTATAAATGAAAATGATGTGGACTAAATTGTGAAGCCAGAACTTGAGTGTAAACTTTGTGCAGGAAGGGTCCAAGGTCTTCAAATGTAGGTAGACAACTGTAGCACCAGATAGAAAAGAAGCCAGAGAGGGTCTTCCAAGCAGTGTGAACAAAAGCTCAGTGTCCTCGCGATGGTATGTATTTCTCAGGGAAGCAAGTAGACTTGACTTGTTCTAGTTTAAGGTGCATGAGTAATAACGTGCTGCCAATAAACTTGGGATGAAATACTAGGGCCATACTATGGGACTTTCACTTCATAAACTATACTAAATATTTTAGGACTTATTTAGATGGCAACTATCGAAGAACTTTGAACAGGTTACAATAGCCAGTTATCAGCTTTCAGACATTAACTCTGATAGCAATGGGCCTGAAAGATAGTACCTAAGGAGAAATAAGGAGAGTACTTAGAGGGCAGATGCACCAGCCCAAGAGAGGTGTTGTGATCTTTAAGTACCTAAGCTATAGTGAAAGCATGTATAGATGGTAGACTGAGAAACATTCTATAGTCTATGTTGACAAACTTTGAAACCAATTAGATGTGAAGTGTGGCAGGGGCAAGAAACAAAGGTGGCTTTGAAGTCTCTGGCTTAGGCTGGAGAGATGGCTCAGCAGTTAAGAGCACTGGTTGCTCTTCCAGACATCTTGAGTTCAATTCCCAGCAACCACATGGTGGCTCACAACCATCTGTAATAGGATCTGATGCCCTCTTCTGGTGTAAAGGTGTACATGCAGATAGAGCACTCAAAATTTATTTATAAAAGAATTTATAATTTATTTATAAAATAAATAAATCTTAAAAAATAAGAAGTCTCTGGCTTGACAACTGGGTGAATACAATGGACAGTGCTGGCAGAGGAGAGGAGACTATCTTGGAGGATGTCTAGGACCTAGGGAGATAATGATTTCCATGTTGCATATGCTATGTTTGAAGTACTCCCTGCACACCCACTTGGCAATGTCCTGTAAATCTACTTGGCAATGTCTAGTAAGCTGCGGGCAGTTTGGAACAAGAGCTCAAGGAGATATATACTGAAGCTTATGAGATAGATAAAATAATCTACAGAATGTGTGTATATGTGAAACAACAGGACTTGGAAAGAACTCTGGAGAGCACGCATGCTTATTTTGGAGAGATTGTAGCATGATGATTTAATACCTTAGCAATGGGACACAAATTTGAGCTTTCATATTAACAGTAAGACTTCCTAACTCTCACTTTATCCCTAAAAATAAGATCACTCTATCTAAGCATTTAATATATGGCAGACACACAACTTCCATGAACTGTAGTAGTAGTAATAATAACAACAATAAGCTATTGGCAAAGTCCAGTGGTAACACAGGACTTTAATACCAGCACTAGGGAGGCAGAGGCAAGCAGATCTTGATGATTTCAAGGCCAGCCTGGTTTACAGAGCTAGTTCTAGGACAGCCAAGGCTATACAAAGAACCCTGTCTTAGGGGGTGTGTGCAACTGAACAGTGAGCATACATGATTTCTAATCTCAAGCAGTATTAACCAAGATGAGTGTTAGCTTGTTATTTGTGATAATGGAAACTACAGTTATTATAAGCCCAATATAAGGGGAGTCAGCCTTCTTTATACAGCCTTCTTTATACTTTGTACTTTATTGAAAATACTTGTTGTTATACTACCTTTTTGTTGGGTATTTTGGGGGGAAAATGAGTGAAATGTTTAAATGCATGTGTCCCATGACTCTAAACTATGGCTCAGACTCTGTCTTTTGAGATCCTTACACAAATGATGTGCATGTCTGTCTGCATCTTCCTTAAAGACTTCTTTCATAGGAAAAAAATGGTAGAAAAACTTAATACCAACCAGAAGAAACAGTGGTATATGTTTATTTTCATATAGCATGGTCATTCAAAAACATGGTTTGTAGATTTCTGGAGAGTCACAGAAAATACCTCAGATATATTGAAAGGAATAAGAAAAAAATCCATATTGTTTTTTATAAATATATGATTAGTAAAGATAATAGTATTATCTCTGGGCCATTTGAGTGTGGAGACTTTCTTTATGCTATATACTTCTGTTATTTTCTATTAAATTTTATAACATGCATTTTATTTGTGGTGATAGAAAGATAAACCCAAGCATGTGACACAAGCGTCAATGTTAAGAGATAATTCAGTGTAGCAGTAAGAACTGGGATTACACCAATGGCTGGGTTACAACCCAGCTCTGCTGTGTATTAGCTATGGTCTTGGACAAATCACTGGTCAGTTTCCTCATCCATAAACTAGGGATAAGCACAGAATGCCCAATTTGTATGGCTGTTGTAAGTAAATGAGTTAATGTGAGGAAAACTGTCTGGAAAGACATCTGGCATGGAGCATGTGATAATTAGAGATGATGATGATAATGATGGCAGATGTGAAGTGAGTGGAGACTAATAAAAGCCATTCTACTGGCAAATAGGAAATCCCCATTTACTAAGATTAGCATGAACTCGATTAGTAGAACAACTTTTTGAGATTGTTTGTCCAGTACCTGATTAAACATGTTCCATAATAAGAAAGTCACTTAATACCTTGCAGTCTGGTCCTTCCATTACAAGAGAGTCCTAACTATAGAATAATTTAGACCACAGACTAAATGTAGTGTTACAAAGCTGTTTGAATCTCATTCATTCCAACACTTTTCACATACAAGTTATCCTAAATTTCAGCTTTCTTTAATGAGGGGTCAAATAGAATCTATACTATACAAACAATGCAGAGTGAGAGTATTTACACAAGGCACTTGGCACCAGCATGTAGTAGGCAATATGAGATTAATAGATATTGACTGTGACTATTAATCCAGACTGATTGGCAGTATGAAAGCGTGGAGTATCACCTTCATTTTCATCCTAGTCAAATATCTCTGGGACAACTGCAAACTGAGAAGTTATGTTGATAGAGTTCTTTGATGAATTTTGAAGCTATATGTGCCAATAGAGGGGGTTAAAAAAAAAAGGTTCCTTTTTTACAAGAAGAGAAAGAAAGCAGGTACCACAGAGTCCATTGACCTATCAGGGCCCAAGCTTCTTTTTTTTTTTTTTTGTTTTTAAATAAACTTTATTATAAAAACTTGTGGGTTGGGGGGATTGGCATACACCAAACCCAAAGTCAATACATCTTAATGACATCTAACTTGTATTCAGTTAGAGTAGCCATTCTGAAGCACAGAACTCGACATTGGACTTTACTCTTTTAATAGCAAATGTATTTAGTGGATTTATTCACCACCCAGAAAGGAAAAAAAATCTATGACACAATTGGAACTAGAGAAACATCTTTCAGAGCTCATGTCCATTACCTGCATTCAGTCCTTCCTCATCTTGGGCATGTAAACACAATGGAGCAGCTGCTTCTGGGCTGGGAGGCTGGGAGGGGAAAGGTGAAGGAATGAAGCGTGAAAACCCCTTTGTGAAGTTAAAAGGGAGAGTATTTGGTCAGTATGAGAGAGTGAGAAGGACCATTGGCTTCAGGGTCCAGATACTAACTGGCAGCAGCTTTTCCAGATCAGGATTCAAGCACTAGCTTGATATAGTGGCTCACATGGAGAAGCAAACACTTGGGAGCCTTTAGTTCTCTGCCTTCAGATCTCCTTTATGGCAAACAGTGACTCCTAAGCCATGAAGAGGCAGTTCTGGGGGTTCCTTGTTTTTGGCAGAACCACTGGGAGATGGATAGTCCACAGCCATTCTTCCTTGCCCACAAAATGGACAAGTAGGAGGGTCTAGTGTGGACTAAGACAAGGCAAGTTCACACCCTTCATCTCATGGTATCTCTCGGTTGTTAACTTCCTGGAGTGGTACTTGCAGATCAACAGCAAAGTTCCAGCTTTGGTAGTGTTTGGTTTATTGGCATTTTCTGCCATACGCTGTGGGCAGGGGAATACCTATACTATCAACAATTATTTGCTATTCAGGGGTAGAGAAAAGAATACTGTCCTCTGAGGCAGTGACCCTCCTGGGGGATAGCAATTATGCTCTGAGTTACTTATACATTTTTGGACTCAGTCTACCTGTCTTATGCATGCCTTTAACATCTGGTAAGAACCCACCAAATAACAGATACAGCCAGAGAGGTCAGAGGTTAGCAACATAAATAAAACATTCCATTCACCATAAGGGGACAGCCTTCAGTGCAGGAAATAGCTCAAAGAAACTATAAAAATACAAAACATGAGTTCCAGATTAGAGCCCCCTATGCAGTGAGGAGAAGAAGAAGACAGTAGCTAGAGGACCCAGAAAAGCCTTCAGAGTGTAACTACTGAGCTGTTTCCCAAAGGGAAAGTTCATCCAGACCGAAAAGAGAACTCATTCCAGGAAGAAAGAGAAGTGTATGCAAAGACAAAGCAGAATGAAGGAGGGCAGTGCCTGGAAAGAATGGTAAGTACTTAGCTCTTGCACAGGGCTGCACTTTCAGCTAGGGAATGCTGACTCCAAGAGATGCACACAGGCTACCTGGGGAAGGAGAAAGAGCTGTGATAGAAATCAGCTTAGAAAAAAACAAGCAGTAATAAATAAAGGGACGTAGGCTGATTTGCCTCAGGCCTTTGAATATACTAGATTCTCTACCTACACCTTTAGAGCACATTATTATTAATGCTGTATTTTTATGTAGCTGAATTGCTTTTGAGACAGTAATTTAAATTTTAGCAAGTGAAACTTTATACTGTCTTTAGGACCAAGATAGACGAAGATGGTTTTGTTCAAATCAAAGGATGTAGGACATGCTTGATCTGAGGGTTCAAGAGTGATTTTGTAGTTTGATAAAGAATTTGGGTCCTACTTTAGGGCATGATGAAGTCTTAGGGTAGTAATTATGTCAACAACCAACTATTTATCTGATCATAGAAACTTGATTTTAACATGTCCCTATGAACTAAATTGTTCCTCATGATTCACAGTGGTTAAGAGTAGCTCAAAAGCTGGACATGGTGGCACCTGCCTCTAATCCCAGCTGCTTGGGAGGTGGCAACAGATAGATCACTTAAGTTTTGAGGTCAGCCTTAGCAACACAGTGGGCCACAGTTCCACTGTCACTCTGGAAACAGGGAGGCCTGGATTCAAACTACTAATACTTTCTAGTTACATGTAATCCCATTTGGCTTTTCTATAAAATAGAGATGAAAACCTTACCTGTGGGGGACCCACACACACACACACTTCCCCCCCCCCCAGGGTACTCTGGAGGAGTGAGGAATAAGAGATTTAGCTCGAAATATAGAGGGGAGAGAGACAGATAGAAACACAGGATAGCCTCCGGAGGGCCTGGATCCTTATCCACCAGCCCCTTCTGTCTCTTCTAAAGGGCTTTTTAAAGGAATGCCAAGGGGTGGAACAAAAGATCTCCCCCTAGCACAGCCAAGTGCAGACCCTTCCAATCACCTGGTAATCACTTATGGGATCAATCTATCCCCTTATGCATCTGTGCTGGGTAGAGCACGCTCAGATCTCACGGGTAAACCTCTGTGGGCTCCCACACTTATCTGTGCCAGGATTGCTGCAAGAAACACATAAAGCATTTGCAAAGCGTTGGCCCACAGTAACCATGTACTCAATTAACAGCTATCTTTATTATCGTGATTTTATGATCTTTGCGTTACAGCGTTGATGCTTAAAGCAAAAGGGGCAGGGGCTGGCTGCTTGGAAAAACAAATGCTAAGCTAATGTAGAAAACGTTTTGTTGGTTAATGCTTCAAAAGAGGTCAAGAACCCCTGAAAACAGAAAATGTAAATACAGTTTGAAACAAACACTTAAACCCCAAACGGAGACTGATTATGCTCAGTGCAAGTCGGTCTTGCCACACAGAGGCTTTTGCGCAGGGGAATCCTGCCACCATGTGGTGGCTGATTTCTGGTTACTAGCAGTCACAATCCTCAGATCTATGGCCACCTCTGATTTCCATTGAAGGGAAGTAAATCTGTGCCTGTTTCCCCTGCTAACATTAACTCTCCTTTACTGACTAGGTAACTAAAGCCACAGGTAATTCCCTGTACATTAGGCAGGAGTAGTCAGAGCATGAAAGAGTCTTTAGTGACGCTGTACATGTAAAACCCCAAGTTCCTTGCAAACCTGTGTATCAGATTTCTGCAGAATGTAGTAACTCCATCCCTCCAAGGGCTATGAAAATCACCTTTTTGTAGACTTGAGGCATAAATAGTGTCAGAAAACCACTCTTTCTAGAAACTTTGTGGATAAGTATTTTGGCCCATACTTCTAAGCTAGCTCAGCTCTTCCAGTATTAGCAAACAGTATAGAAGCCTTAATGGCCAGAAACAGGCAAGGTGGGTCCTCTATGGCTTACTGTATACCTCTGGGATTTGAATCTCTGTGCTCTTCAGAAATTATTTGAAAATCCTGAAGTACACTGGATAAATGAGGTAGGATTTTCTCAGCTGCTATTAAATGTGATCCAGGGAGTTGTTACTCAGACTTTGCCAACTAAGTCCAGGGAAGAGCTTCTTGGTCTTTTAGGAGAAATGCAAGGCTCCAGTTCTGTTTTGGACATGTTTAAAGACTCAGCACGGTTGAGTATGGTAATGGGAAGTCATAGGATACTATCTTTGCCTGAGGATGAGCACAGCCTTTCCACACAGAGGAGGCAGTGATGTGGTGTGGGAGGGCTGTCATCCAAGGGAACAACCAAATCAATGAAAATGCTTTTCTCTTTCTTTCTAGGTCTCACGTTATCAGTGAATTAAGAACTCTACATAAGCTAGCCAACAATAATAAAAACAACTTTGTTGCTAACTCAAATTCTAGAGTACAGAACGTGTTTATCAGCATGGACAGCAGTGGCAGAGCCAACGTGGAAGATTTTTTTTTTTTTTTTTTTTTTTTAGACAGGGTTTCTCTGTGTAGTTTTGGTGCCTGTCCTGGGTCTCACTCTGTAGCCCAGTCTGGCCTTGAACTCACAGAGATCCACTTGGCTCTGCCTCCCGAGTGCTGGGATTAAAGGCATGGGCCACCTCCGCCTGGCGGTTTTTTGTTTTTGTTTTTTGTTTTGTTTTTTTTTTAAACTAAGAATTGTTTTAACTAAAGATTCTTGAGGGAAAAGTTCCACCTCGCAGCATTGTAGGTGGGATGTGTAAGAGCTAGAAATTGAGGCCTTGATCTGTAACTTGGTAAAGAAATCTTTGGATCGCGCTTTGTCTAGGTTGGACTTCATGTCATTCTTAGGAATTTGCTCTTATTATGACTCTTCCTTCTATTTTTTAAATTGTAATTCCTTTAAGTCTTTACTTTCCACCCCCTAGATACTGTGGGTTGAACAGAACCACGTGCAGCTGCACCCCATACCCAGTCCTCACTTTAAAAATTATATAGTACCTTACTAAGCAGTTGATCAATGGACATCCTAATAAACTATTTGGAAGTGGTTTTAGTCATAGCCTGTTTAAGGCTACTAAAACGTCTTTGTGAGTAAGGTTTGAGTCTCCTGAGACATTTGCCCTGATATGATCATATATCAGAATCAGAATCGACTTTATTTTATAAATGAAAAAATTATGGGTAGGACAAGAGAAATTAAGGGACTGTGTCTAAGGTCAGTTATCCCTTCCACGTTGCCTCCAGCAGGCTGGATTTAAAATCTTTAGAAACGGGTTGGCTGGGAAGGTGGCTCTGTTCCTAAAAGTTCCATCTGTGTAAGCCTGACTACCTGAGTGCGATCG